ATCTTTCCTAAATCTAACTACAGAAAATAATGCCTATGGTGGTTATTGGTTAAAATGCGTTTTAAAACTTCGATTTAACTATTCACACGCGACCAAGTAAACTTCGTTGAGTCAAATTAAGAAATCATTAAAAATCAGGTCTTTCCTGCAGTAAATAATCTTCAGCATTATGCAAAATCTCTCCCCAGAAACACGGGAAATCGCCATTGAGGGACTCCAGATTTCAAAATTTTCCCGGGGGAGAATGCCCCCGGACCCCCCTAAAAAGGGTTACGCCTTCGGCGTTCGATATATGCCCTCCCAAAAATTATAGTCTGGCTACGCCACTGCATTTACGGGTCACAAAAATACCCTTTCCCACCCGGCTCATTAATATCGCTCTCTGATTCTGAATAAAAATCGCAGTTTATAATACGTACTGGGAACACTGATACGATTGGGAACCGTGAGAATTTGTATATAGATGCCATTACGCAAATGCAAAATGGGTTACACACTTTAATACACTTGATCCAATTTTGATTGGGACTATGGTCTACATTTCGTAGACTATAGCCCCGTATAAAATGGGCCAAGTATAAAATTGGCCAAGTATAAAACGGGCTGTGATAGTTATATCATAGAATAGGACGGTATACCAGAAGTCTCACTCAAGCAAGTATTTGTCCGCGTTTTTACAAGCGATTCGTCCGATCATCCGTCCGGCACTTTGTACCTATCGAAACCTGATAAAAACTTCCGGCTGTACTAGCCAGGATGGGGTGAGCGAGTTAAAATTTTCGTAGGTTACACTTCTGCTATACTTTCCTATTTTGTGGTTATATGCTGTATATTTAAATACATTCTTCAACCGGAATATAACCATACGTGGTTATTATTGTATTAACGCTATAGTAAAAATTTAAAAAATATCGTGCACGCTGCAAGATACGATAAAAAAAAATCGTGCGGAGTCGGTGACGTCCAAAAAAAATCGAGCACTCCCAAAAATGCGCCCCCCCCCCCATGAAAAATCAAATGGTCCGTCCCTTATTCTAGGCCTCTCAGGAGCCGTCACCTCATTAATATGCAGAAACGCGCAATAGGCGAACTAAGAGGCCTAGGGACTAGGCTTTGACAACTGTCCAAGTGTAAATGTCACGCCATCATGTTGCCGGGGTTACCTGGAGAAAAAAGGCGGGAAAATTAAGATTTCCTGGAAAAAAAGATGGTTTGTGTTTGATCGTAGAATGAAAGCCTTAGTGTATTATGAAGATCAAAGCAAGAAAGAACCTCAGGCTATTGTTTATTTCCAAGCTATTCAAGACGTTTATGTCGATCATGACGGTGAAACAAGAGGTAATTTATTGAAGTCCTCGTTCTGTGTGAAAATGCCTTTAAAGACATACACATTAGCAGCTGATAACGCTTTGGCAATGAGTGTGTGGATTGATGTTTTGTTAACAGGACGTGAAGGAACTGCTTTGTTAAACAACTAGTATACCATGGATCTGACTGTGAGAGATGCTTTTTTTAATCCTAACTGTTTAAACATACAGTCGTACAGTCACATGCATGCCTAATCAGCTAACATGCCCATTGACATTGCTACTCAGTTCACATTTTCGGATACTTCACATGGCTAGTGATGGAACGGGAAAGTGATAGAACTTAGGGGTTCCAATTTAAATAGGCCTTTCCAAGGTTAGGTCGCCATCTTGAATCTATTGTTCTCACCATTGTGTTTATACCCCCTGTAAATTTATCTATAGGGAATTCCAATTGGGTTTGCACCCCTTGCACTATTGTGTTTCATTACGGCGTCGTTAACCTTGGAAGAGTCTATTGCCAATTGTCAGTGCAGAACTCATTTCGTTGGACCTAAATTAATGTAAATATGCCCAAATTGTATTGCTTTAAGTTTACAAAGTTGTTGATACAGCTGCCCTCATTGATTTGAAAATTAATCTGGATTTCTGCATGTAAGAAAAATTTTTCGCTCAAGTTTTTTTGAATTTGGAGCGGTGAAGTAGAACTGATTTATTCGGATGGTCACAATTCAAAAGAAATCAAGCGAACTACAGTGTGTCCCCCAAAAAAGGCTACCCTCTGAAGTCAAGCGTTAATTAGTGCCGCATGTTCGAATTTGAATGCTTTAACTCCCTGATGAGCCTTGGAATGCGTAAAACGTTATAGCAGATCAATCATCATTATAGCAGATCGTTATAGCAGTCAATTTGTTCCGCTAAAATAACACAGAATGGAATGCATGAATATACATGTATAACGTTTTACGCATTCCAGGGCTCATTAGGGAGTTAAAGCATTCAAATTCGAACATGCGGCACTAGCGCTTGACTTCAAAGGGTAGCCTTTTTTTGGGACACACTGTATTTTGGACGACGAAATATTTCTCTGTAAGTGGAAACCTCCCTCAGGATTGGATAGTACAATTTGTCACGCATAAGTGAAGCCAGTCACCAGTGGCAGCCACATTGACGCGACTTGCACGATCTACGGTGGTACTGTATGTGTTGCTGACATGTGATTAGAAGAGGTTCGAATAGTTTCTATAGTTATTGATATATTTTGTGTTCAATGTATAGACCATATTGTAAGACTTTTTTCATGTGTTTATTACATCAACAAACGACGTTTCGGAGATTTACGCCATCTTCAGGAAGATAAGATTACAATTTGAATTTAAACTAACATGGGCATGCATGTTTGTCTAAATTCAAATTGTAATCTTATCTACCTGAAGGTGGAGTAAATCTTCGAAACGTCGTTTTTTGATGTAATAAACATATTGAATACGTCTTACTGTGGTCTATACACTGAACACAAAATATATTATTAACATGAGGCTTACAGAATGTTCGTTTTTAAACATTTTATGGTTATTGTTGGGAAAGGACACTATTGTCTCATTAGAAATTAGTCACCGGTGGTCTCTCTTTCGTCCGATATTAACTGGTAAAGAGATGCGAGAAGTTGTTTTATCCAAGGTACCCTAGAAAAGATAGTTTAATTGATAGTAACGATAGTATTTAAGCACCTGACAATTTGATTCGTAAAGATTTGTCAGACTTCGTCTCATTAAGAATTTCGTCTCATTAAAAATATCCAGGCTTGATTGATTGAATTCAAAAAGTATGCTCTATATATCCAGTTTTAGTTTTCAGTAAGTGGGCTTTGTTCTTAAGATTTATAGAAAATACTGTGGATGCGGTTGCCCCTCTAATTTACAGTAGTAGGATGCAGGAACAAGGCTAACCAAGCATTAAAATATGACTGGGTACGACTTGCAAATTGCATCATAACGCGTTAGCTGATTTGGTCTGTGGTGTTACTTGCATGGATAGACATACACTTCCCACATTTGCTTTATTGCACACGAAACAATACCTACCTTGAAATCGAGGCGGACAATATAACTCATTGTAAATATGTATAGTTTTCACTGCCAGCCAGCAAATTCGGGAAGTGTCCATTGATAGCGACTATAGATGTCCATTACTGAATGGTGTGAGGGGAATTAAATGAATGGAATAAGAGGAAAGCAAGGGTCCATTATGTAAATGGAATAAGGGGAAAAGATATTTTCAACAATCTTTTTTGATAAAGTTAAACAAAACTATCCTACCATACCATGCATGACACATGTCAGAGATTCAAAGTGTGTGGGCATAAAATGCATGTGGAACGTAAATCATGTTATTGTAGTTAAATTATATATAGAATATATAGGACTATTGAATGGTATATGTACCGCAAAAATACCGGTAGTTTGTTATGAGAAACTATATGTGGTGTTTGAAATATAAATATTTGTATGTTTTAGCATTAATTTTGATGGTTTAATTAGTCTTTCTCACACTCGATTTATTTATTTAAGTCAGAGTACGTACGGACTGCAAAATGCACATTTTATCACTGTAGTTGCGTGTCTAATTGTAAATGTACAGTTACAACTTTGAAAAGTCATTTTTTACATTGCTTTAATTTTCTAGATTCTTTGACGAGGGAGGACAGTACCCCAAAAATAGGCGGATATTGGCCCACATGAGAAAGACTAATTGACTTTACTTTCAATGTACATTGTACATTGTGCATTGTACATTGTAGACAATTTTTCCACTGGGTGATAAGAGAAGTGTTGAGAGCGTTGGTGCACACCTTAAATTAATCAATATTTAATTGCTCTTGTACAACAACATGTTGCTGCGTCAAACAACTTCACTGTTATAAGGCCCGGTTACACTATACACAACGATAAACATAGTAACAAAGTTAGCAACCGAAAATTTAGGATTTTTTAACTTTTTGTATTGTAGTTTTTTGTTATTTCAATAAATATATCTCAGACCAAATTCAACTTATTCAAACAATCATGTCTTCAACTGGTCTCAACAGCATTACATCTGCCGGCTGGGCAGATACAAATACAAAATAAATTTATCTTGGGGAGTAACAGAAATTTAAAATTTTGAAAATTGACTTTATTGAGAAAGTTTTCTCCAATTATTTCAAGATCGGGAAAGTATCACAAAATAGTTGAGAGAAAAGGGCAGATACAAAAATTGTAGTGGCATTCTTGTCGTCACAAGGTAGAATATGACCCTTTCGTTTAATTAGTATAGGTAATAGCATGGTTTCGAGTGCAATTTGGATATAACATGCACGAGTGAGTTTTTCAAAGACCTCAAAATAGCACGAGTCCGAAGGACAAGTGCTATTTGAGGTCTTTGAAAAACTCACGAGTGCATGTTTATCCAAATTTCACGAGAAACCATGCTATTACTTATTGATAATTTACATAAAAATTTTCGAGATAATTGTAGTTTTAACTTACGCGTTTATAGCGAACATTCCACTGGCAAAGTTTTCCTGGCTTTGTTATATCACATTATACAATACTAACAGCTTGAAAATTCCACTCAACTGTGTAGTTTTTGTTAGTCTTGCTTAAGGTAAATGCTTTTCCATTTAAAAATAAAGATAAAAGCCATATTTTCCACGCGAAGGCAACTTTTTCTTTGTGTAGCGCGGCGCCATGTTTGTTTTGTTTTGAAGCAATATCTGTGACCGTTACTTCTTTGAACTAAATTGCTTTAAACTGATTGGTTGATTTAATCATCACAATGTTTTTCCACCAATCAGATCAGTTTGTTACAGATTTTTGCACTGTGATTACAGAAAATTGCACTGTGATTACAAAAAATTGTACTGTGATTACAGAAAATTGCACTGTGATTACAGAAAATTGCACTACTGTTTGGGATTAACTGCACTGAAATCAACCAATCACAGTCGAGTAATATCTTTATGTATATTATTATAATTGAAATCATGTGTTGTTGTAATAATATAGGAAGTGATTGCTGTTTTAGATTGCTTTCTTCATTGCTCCGACGACTTTCGAATGAGAACTAGAAAACATGCGCTCGTGGCTATTCGTGGTTTCCGTCGCATATTGTCTATGTTTAGCGCGTAAGTACTTGACGTTATTTTTTACTATATGGTGAGAGCTGTAAACTGTATTTGGTATATTATTACTTCGTATGTGCGCTTTTAAGGGCGTGACACACCGGACGCGATTCGACAACTCTGCGCAATTTTTTGATTTTCACTGACCGATAACTTTGATCCTGGCGCTATAACATTTTGAGTTCTTTGATCTAGATTTCTTTTAAAATTTCTTTCCATTGGCTGTTTTATTAACTTTCAAAAACTGAACAATCGCGCCGCGTTGTCGAATCGCGTCCGGTGTGTCTTGGCCTTTGTACGAAACGCCAATGCTGACTGTGTGCGCGTTTTCTGTCTTCTTGATGCGCAATTCATAATCTCTATCGACTCAGTCTCTGATTTTTCTCAACTGTACGTGGCGCTGTTGGAAAATACAGGCGAATTCTTTGGCGTCAAATTTATCATGAAAACATTTCAATTTCCTTATTGAACAATAAGATGAAATCCTAAGTTTGCATGCATTACTGTATTTCCTGTGTTGATTTTCCCGCGATTATCTGACCTCTGTAGAAAGTTTTCAGAGAACTGAACGCGCGTCTTGCCATGTCGACGTTTGTAACTGTGGCTGTTAAAGGCAAAAGCAATGCTTTTACATGAGTTGGCGCTTGCAAAATCGATTTGTCACAGTTTCAATACTTGTCCTTCCAAGAATCGACTATAGATTTCAACACTCGCCACTCGGTAGACTTTATAAATGCAAGGCTACATATAATTGTGGATTTGTGGAAAACATGCATTTCATATAGTATGACCGTGGCCTGTTTGGAACGTGATATTTTGTTATTTAATAATTGTTGATGGGCTTTGCAGATGGAAATTTCGAGTGGAATTTTTTATACATTTATTAGACCTAAGAATGAATGGAATGCTTCAGTATACGCTTGAGCGTACGCTTGCTTCAGTACGCTTGCTGTTACGTCTGTTACGTCGCAAGACTATACAAGAATACATGTCCACACACACTGGCAGGCGAATAACAGCAGGTTAAAATTTAACCCATGGGTAGGGTTGATCGGGCTTTAATTGAACAACGGGCGCCTGATCAACTGAACAACTACTTTCTAGATCAATATTTATCGACCTCAAAAAAGCATTGGACCCGGTCAATCATGCTTTAAGCCCTGATTCCACGAGCGCTTTTTGTCAGCGAAATGCGAAATATTTCGCCTGTTTCTTTCGAATTGTGAGCAATCAAGTAGAAATAATTTATTCGAGTGGTCGCAATTCAAAAGAAACAGTCGAAATATTTCGCATTTCGCCGACAAAAAGCGCTCGTGGAATCAGGCCTTTACAAGCTAAACCACTGTGGTGTACGAAATAATAGTTTAGATTGGTTTCGTGAATATTTGACCTCATGAACACAAAAGATAGTACTCTGGAAGATATATGCAGCATTTCAAGCGTAAATCACGGAGTACTCACAAGGACCTACAGTATCCTATTGGACCATTTTTTATTTCGTACAGAAACAACTTACCTCAATGCCTGGATTTTTTATTTCGTACATAAACAACTTACCTCAATGCCTGGCGTCTATAAGATGGATGTCTATAAGCATAAGCGGATGAGAGTGTTGTTTGATTCTCAACTGCCTCCACAGTGGCGTAACTCCTATGAGGTCTACCCAGTAAGAACCGGGGGCACCCGGGCAATCGGGCTTCCAGGGGGGGGGGGCACCCTGAAGTGCCTGATTGAGTTGTCCAGCGGCCTTGTTTCTATAATTTCCGTTTCGTAAAGCTATTAAGAACTTTTGAGATTCAGATTTTCTGTATCAACTGCACTAGCACAGATGGTATATAACGTGACTCCAGAAGTTGAAGCGAAACTATGACGAAGTACAAATGGACAATCGGAAAAATGGAATGTCTTTGGAGCCAATGGCAGTGAATTAAAGAAGTACACGACGTGTTTCGACAAACAGAACTGACAAACAACCGATCTTGTGTTCATCTGATTTCTTCAGAATGGTTTCCACTTGCCAGGATATTTCCAATTTAGAAGGAAATTGTAAGGACCGGTCATAAAGCCCTTAAAAATTGATGACCCACCCCTGCGTTGAAAATTTGCTTCAAGGCAAACTCTTCACTTTCTTCGTGTTCTTTCTCGTTCCACTATAGTGTGTACTACAAGACATAGCCAACAAGTAGTACACACTTTAGTGGTGAAAATTCACGGATAACCCTTCATAACTGCTGTGTAGCGAGCGAGCCTGAAGCTAGCCTGAAGCGAGCGAACGAAGCAGCATTCTAATATGCCAGAGAGGTGGTTTTGAAGCAATGTTGGACCGCTGTAATTGGCAGTAGCTGTTGTGGTTTCCCAGCCAGTGAATGTATAAGTATTATGGCAAAGTAAATAAATAAATTTTATTTAGCGCATTCCATTGTCGTCGTGCGCCCTTGCTATGCGCAGCCGCAGAACACTAAATATAAGCGACGTGCGACATACAGTATTTGAGGCGTATTTGAAAGATATCGTTTTGCTTGCTTCGACTTGTAAATTATTTTGACTCAGGCACTCAGCGTAAGGTTTAGTAAAGTTTTAGGCCATAATTTAGTGTATAAAATAATGTGACTGCACTTTGTGCCTTGTAATTCACTCAGTGGATTTGGCCACTGACCACTGTTAGTTCTATATTATTATAAAGTTTTGGTTTCTTAGATTAATTTAATTACCGGCTGTGTATATAATGTGGTAAATGCGCCCAGCAGTATTAGACTCAATATGAAATCCAATAGCAAAAACTTGTGTTATACAATTTACCTGTACATCTTAAGAACGCTTTGTCATTTGTATTTATACGCGTACTAAAGCAGCGCGTATTAATTCGTCAGATTCCACTTGGTCTTGGAAATATTATATATTCTGGCTGTTATGCTTTAGTGAATATTACTTCCATAAACATTGACACGCAAGTATTCAATGAGACGCACATGTTTAATTTTCAGCTTTTTTATTATTATTATTTTTTATAATAAAAATGGTGCTTGCCATTTCATTTGCCTTGCGAGATCATGCCCGCTTGCCACGATCTCAATAGAGGCAGAGGAGATGTAATATTACATTTAATTGAGGATGTATGTGCATAATTACAGTGGCAAACATTTCACTCTTTATGTCAAAAACAATTTCCGATTAGTGCTATTTTATAGTTGTGTTTTTCATATTTTGCTATATATTTATATTTCCAGTTTAAAAAATCCATTAAAATTGGCTTCTAGACGACAAGCGATCTTCAAAAAGGTCTATGATCCCCCGCATTGGGGGCACCCAATCCCGGTAGGACCAGGGGCAGCCTGGTCCAAACTTACCCCACTGTGCCTCCATAAATGATGTAAAGCGCGTCGTTCAGAAAGATTTGTGGGAAAATATCACATCATGGATGAATGAAAATAAATTGATTCTCAACGAAACCAAGACAAAAACTGTACTTTTTCGTAGAAGATTCAGGCTTGGAAAGATCCCATCTTTAGTATCTATTTCTTCGTAAAAATACTTGAACAGGTTTCAAAATCTTAAATTCTCAGTCAGACTGGAAAGAACATACAGAATCTGTCAATGTCCATGCAGGCTGCTACGATTGAAGCTATTATCTCGCATTAGACCTTGTCTCACTCCTGGCGCGCTTCTAAAACGTACTATCCTGAGCACATTAAAGACAGCTCGATGACCCATTATACTGTAGCATGCGTACTTATTTATGTAATTTGTGCATGGTAATCATATAAGCTTAGTAAAATTTTAGTTCAAATTTTGTATTTCATATGGATATGTACAGCAGTGATTCGTGACCTAAAACATTTTATTTGCTCCCTATGTCCTATATAGCCCCAGAAACAACACAAGTTCCAGTTGACACTGTGTCAACACAAGGCTTGCCTGATGTTGGAACAACGGAAGCACCAACATCTACCATTCGAATCGGTAAACTTGATATTCTACTTTGTTTTTAGTTAATATGTCAATAAATATGCGAGTATTTCAATAACGAGATAAAAAGTGCGCATATTCTAATTTAGCTCCTGGTCCCTGGCGTTTAATTTAAGACTGTAAACTATACGGTTTAATTTTTTTAAAATTTCTTGACAATATTTCAGTTATTAATTACCATCTCGATGTTACAATTGTGAACCAAAAAAGTGTCATAATTATCATGACCTTTCCTGGTCGAGCAAATCAGCGATTTGTGATTCCTGCATGTTGGTGGAAGTTATATATCCAATCAAATCAACACCTTCTACACGTCAACAAATAGCCATCATAGCATATGATACAGAAACGTTTATTCCAGTTATGATAAACGGCAAGAGCGCATTTCAGTGTATTTCCAAGTATTACACCAGCAGGGGCGGATTTAAAACGTTGCAACCGTGGCATATGCTGCGGTCAGACTTTCCCAAGATATATTTTCCCAGGGTGTATCTTTGAAAAATTAAAAAGTTACACTATTTTCTAATTGCTGATATTTTCAATTTTTCATTGCTAATTAGCGCAATTTTTTTCAAATTTACTAAATTATGATGTTCTGTGTTGGCGCACTGTACTCAGGTGAGTATAATGTTTGTGATGTTACTCTGAGTGTATATCCACACATTTTTTACAACTTTCTCTTATGTACTTTTAGCATAACACCACATTCGCTTATAAACATTTGGTGAAAACTTGGTAACTATCGTATTTATGGTACTGTACCTATATTTTCTTACGTTAATTTCTTACTTTTTCAGAAACACTTCCAACAACAAAACCTGAAGGTATGTCAAGAAATTCTTAATAATAAAATTCATGGTGCGATAATTCAAGATTTTTTGTCGCATCTGACTAGTACTCCGAAGGTTATTGCCTTCAGCCTTGTACTTGAGCTCACTCATTAGTGAGCGGATTTCCCAACAGGCTACTGCCCAATTGATAGGAGATGCGAGGTACCTACGATTTTTATGTCCTTATCCGAGAAGACGCGGAAGTCGATGTATACTTACTTGAAATTATGAGCTAGAACAAGGAGCGCAATTGCATATTCAAACACTACAATCGACTCGAACATTTGCCAAGACATACCAGCCTACACACAGTACACTTACGCTTTCAAATACATTGGGCTTGGTAAGTAAGGTCTTAGCAGCAAAAAGGTAAGTACGCATATAGTGAGAGTATTGCGTACCTCGATGGTGCGAGATCATACATTTACATTTTACATTTTTGCAAATTTTTCAATTTGTGATGAGATAAAGGGCTATATAGCCAAGGCTATGCACTTTCCGGAAGGATCTATTATCGCACCTGAAATTTATTTTTTAGCCAACAATGTCAAACATCAGTTTTAGCTTTACTTGTTTTCTCCAATAAATAATAACTTATATTGAACTATTTATTTTAGTGTCAACTCCATTGTCGACGTTGCAACCTGGAGGTTAGTTGTACTCCTATTCATTTTATAATATTTCATTCCAATCCAAGGTTCTCAGCTCCTTGGAAATCCTAGATTTCTAATTTAGTCTGAAAACTCCTTGAAAAGTTCTGGATATTCAAAGTGATTCCTGAAAAAGCCTGCAAAAGTGAACTTGTGCGAAAGTATTAAACGTTCTGTTTTAGTACGGCTGATCAGAATAATTACAAAACTTCCTTGCCCATAGCATATTGATCTTTTTCGATAGTCGTACTACTTTATAGCGATATTAGAGTGAAAAACTTGTTGACTATTGGCGAAATTATTTTTGTCATATTATTGCAAATGGAAGTAGAAACGTTACGACAGAAAAAAGTTATTGTAAGCAGGGCGTAAGAACAGGGGGAAAGGCCTCCCCCCCCATTTTTTCAAAGGACCAAAAGTGCCCTTTTTTGTGATGAAAAGTGCCCTTTCTGTACAAGCTAATGTCGCAGTAAATACTAAATTAACATCAATGGTGCCCTTTCTGTTTGGAAATGTCGATGTTTTTAAAAAAACAATCGGTCGAAAACGTGCAATTTCGGTATGGTATGACGGGAAAATTTTCCTCCCCTTCCCGGCTCCAACACTTCTGGGAAAAAAATTTTTAGGCAAAAGTGCCCCTGAAGCCGGTGCCCTCCCCCCCAGTCTTTTGATGTTTCTTACGCCCCTGATTGTAAGTCGTGTGTTTTTAAAGTGTACGAACCTGCTAACCATTTGTTTATTGTCTTTAGTTATATACCACAATTCATTTTAATTCATTTTCTATATTGCATTAAGTTATTTAATTATATTTTTTGTTTATATGTGTCCTGCAAACGTCTTTTTAGAACTCCCGGTTATCATAAGAAATCCGAAAATCACTGAAATTGTTCCAGCATATAAGAAGCGTTACAAGACAGTTGTTGGTTCTTCAATATCATCGCCTGCTTCCATTGCTATTACTATCGTCTGTCAAGCAAATGGTGTGCCAACACCAACAATTAAATGGTCCCGAAACGGTGTTGTTCTTGAGTGCAGCACCAAGACTGTTACGATTTTGAACCGAGGACGTCTTCGAATCAAGTCTTTATCTGTCAATGAGATCGGACGCTATGAGTGCACCGCGAGTAATATTTTAGGAAGTGATAGCGCAATAAGCAGGATCGATATCAAGGGTAAGTTTGACTGAAATTCAACATTTAGTATTTATAGGAACAGAAATCAGTATAGTAGATAATATACTAATGAGAGGGAAGAAATACATGAAGAAAATAACGGATGTTGGGATGGAAGGAAGGGAGAGATGGAGAATGAAGGAACCAATGAAAGAAGTAGGGAAGGGGCGCGGGGATGAAACCAAGAAAGATGCATGAGGGGTGCACCGAAACTATAATTTTCCAGGGTTCCCGTTTCGGCTAAAAAACCATGGCCGGAACCAGAACCCTGTCTTCATTAGAAGAATAATAAAGTTCTTGCACTGATAAACATCGACCAAATATTTAATTGAACAGATCACGTAACTGACATTTTAATTACATAGACATGCTACCATAGAGACATATTCCAACATTTTAAGGGTGACAGCGTTCGTATAATCATAAACGATTAAAATAACCTGAGTTCTGGTTCCGGGCGGAACTTAAAATATTGGTTCGGGTGCTCCTCTAAGATTGCTGGTGGAACGAATGGACGGACTTCTAAATTCAATTCCACAGTAATTTGATATGATAGTCCTGTTTGTATTTTATTGCAGTTCCTATTCGATACTTCCTTCCTATCTTCTTTTTCAACCGCCTGGACGAGGATGTCGTGATAACGACGTCATTAAAAGCACCATATGGTAATCTACCTGTTGCGCCCAACGGCTCTTTCCGCTGTGTACTGCGTCCACTAAACTCTGGTCGTGTTTTTATCAACGCTACTGAAAAGGACTCTGGGAAAAGACTTTTGGTTAACAATAAAGAAACTGTTTCATTGCGTACAAATAGTTCACTTACTCGATATTGGCCTATTGATATTACTGCAGGTAAGATAGTGTCCCGTTAAATTGCTAACTTAATATTGTACAGACCATGTCTGGATTTTAGGTATCTTATTCAGTAGAATTAATTATGTAATACTTCATTTAAATTGTGCTTATTTAATTGCCTGATTATGATCACGTGACATGGAATAAAAATTACCATTTGCTGAACGTGCAATGGAACACGTTCCATTGCAGGCTCAGCCGTGCAATAACGTCAACCAAGACCAATTTTTACTCAAAACACTTACTGTCTTTGTAACGACAGACCTTGTTTACGACCAGCGACTGATACAAATTGGAGACGACCTACCTTATTCTCAGATTTTGCGATTTACAACATCGCATAATTGAACTTACTGTTTACAGTTGAAACCCGGCATAATTCAACGTGATAAATAGGATAAATTATATCTGTAATTTCTGCCAATCTGTTAATATCACGTACAGTATGTATGCAGTAAGAGGAAACTCGCGAACTCAACGTTCCACGTCTGCTTATGTATGGCTCGATAGCAAAACCTTTGCTTGCACGAATTTTTTCAGCCGTCTGCTTGTTTTTCTTTACTTTCACCCCTTGCACGATTTTCTATTTTGTTTTGCTTTGCGCGAATTTTGGGATCAATTGAAGTGTACGACCCCCATAAATTAGTTATCTAAAGAAATGCCTCGTTCTTTTATAAAGCCTTTTTAATTTACTAAAGACACTTTTAATTCATGAACTAGATCATTCACGAGCAAAAATAAGTAGGAGTTCTTAAAGAACGAGGCAGTTCTTTGGAGAAGTAACTTCTGGGGGGTCGCATACTTCAACTGATCCTTTTTTGTCCCTCCCCGCCATCACCTTTCTACTGGTTCGCTCCCAAAGAGTGCTTGCTGCCCTTGTCGACAGATCTTGGAAATATTTGGCCGTAATAATTTCTGCCTCTTCTATATTTAGCTGCACCTGAACAGTATTACGTCTACCTATATGTTGAAAACAAGTTCGCCAAGGATATCAGGCTGGTTACTTCACTGACAAACTTTAGGAATACAATTATTGAAGCTTCGAAGGGGATTGCACTCCGTTTCCCTACCACAAGTCAAGCCGCAGTAACCATCACTGCCTTTGATTCAACCACTGGTCAACAAATCAAGATCAACAATCTGGACAGTATGACTTTCATTCCATCTCGGCAAACTGCTACACCAAAGATATTGAGCATTACAGCGCCAGGTAAGGTTTTACTAAATATTTGAAATCACCGAATATTATGTACTGCAAAAAAATTTTGACTCAAATTTCAGTACAATAATACACCACCACAGTTACTCGAAATAATGAGTAAAATTACTCAAATTTACTAATTTTTCTAGTCAAAATTTTGTAATCAATAGTTTGTTTAATGTTGCCGTAGTTGTGCCAACGCTTCTGCATTTACGTAAGTTTTTCAAGTTTCCTCATGAAAGATTGGCAAACACGTTAGTCAAATTTAGCGAAATTTTTCCCATTCGCGCGGGCTCGTATTGTCAGCGGACAACTTACACAAAATGGCCAGTTCTATCTTCTGGAAAATGCGAGTCTGCGCTGCTAGGAGAAAATTTGCTGAATATGACCAGCATGAAAATATTTCGAGAGTGAATTTGGCATACGGTACTACAGGGTGTCCCACAAAAATGGTGTCCTAAAACAAACAAAAATGCGTTGTCTCTTGGGAATTGTTTTTGCTGATTCGTCTGCTGTGTGTTGTTTGGCAAAATTGTAGTTGGTTGCCAGTTATTTCAACATATTAAACTTCATTAACTACGAAAATAACGTGCACGAAAATGCAGATATGCATCAACTTGGTTGGACAACAATTTACACCTGAGGAAAGCACGTTTATGGTGCTACTGTACCACAAAACAAGAGAGAGAGAGAGGGTATACATGTATTCGTTGAAATTTATAGCTAAATGCTAAGAATATTTTTCTATTGAAAATAATGTATTTTGAAACTTAACTTTTATAGAATATTTGCCTGCGAATAGGAATTTTATGTCTGTCATCTTGTTATTATTATCATATTAATTAACTCTGCCAAGGGTGTGGAGGAAACCTGCTGCGCAAAGGTAAAACTTTAGCTGTAGGCAAATAGTTTAACTGATGGAACAACCAGATTATTTACAGGGTGCTGTCATATAGACACACTCAAACATTTTACGTTTAGTTGCTTATAGTCAGCTGTCGAGGCAAGTCATTAATCTTTTCAGCGGTAATTTTTATACATCCCATCTCCTCCCCACGCCTGCATCCATCATCCTGGTGGTTATGATACTGGGGGATGTGTGGGCGTAATTTTTGCCATCACCTTACTGGGCAAAACAATGTTGATACATATGTAAAAGTTATAGTTAATTATTTCTGTCAAAGTTAATAAATAGTAAGTAATTTCAAGAATAAAATGGCTAGGGGTAATTGTAACCCCTAGCTCAAAATATCCCAAACTCGCGTTTGGCTCTTTCAATTTTAATTTATACGGCAAAACAAGTGCCCAGTAACGAGCTGCGGAAATGCAACATCTATAGTGCGACATGTCAGGAAATAGTATAGTTCACTCGCGCAAGATGACAGACATAAAATAACTTTTCCAATAGCTGCCATAATTGCCATATTTTGACAAATAAAATACTGAAAAATAAATCTGTTATATTAAACTTTTGTTAGGATATAATAATTAATAGCTTGCTTCTCAGTTATATTTACAGGTCTACTAACGATGGCGGGAGGCATTTTTGGGAGAAACACAGTGTATATCTTGGTTTCCAACATATTACATATGTTTTAGTATTTTGATAGGCTATATTTCTGTTTTTTATTTATATAGGCCAACCTGTTTCTTACTGGTTCTACATAGAGGCTACAAATAACCATCCTAGGGCGGTGGAGATGGTTACGACGATGCGTACACCCAATAACACATTCGATATTACACCTGGCAATATATTCAGAATGACTGTTAGAATCAACAGTCCAAACTCTATTATTTTCCGTGTTTATGATAAGAGCAATGGATTCCCAGTTATCATCAATGGAAAATTCTCTGTTAGGTTATCACCAACTCCATCCCTACAGTCGGGTCCTCAACAGTTGTATATCGGAGGTACGTTCGTAAAGCAATCATATCGCCACTGTATATTGATAGAATGACGCAAATTGGCCAGTCATCTTTAGTGGGGTACTAGTAACGTATCTAGCCTTGAGCAAGAAACCCTGGGCATTGCTTTTGTCCTTTATTTAGCCAAGGTCTGACCTGTACGATCCTTGGCTTCCGCCTTACCTTAGCTAAGCCTTGTGGTAATGTTGTCACAATTACCTTGCCGTGCCTGCTCTGATCTGATCTGACTTGATCTTGGCTTGCCTCGCAGAACAGAGATTGCAGTTTGACTTTATTATTTATGAAGACAAACCGGAATATTTTTACTTTTTTGTCAGTCGTCAGGTCAAGCACATTCTACCTTCGAGCTGAGAACTCTTGACACTTATGTGAAAAGAGTCAGTCAACGCTCTAACGCCCTAACTGACCCCTAACTGACCATTCTACCGTTGCTGTGTTCCGTGATCAGACATGACCTAGAAGGTGGCTGGCTGAGTGCAGAGTCCCACCCCCACCCCATTCAGGGTGAGGGGTTAAATGGGTTGGGTGCCTCCGGTTAGGAGGGGTTAGAATGGAGGTGAGGGGCAGGTTATAAATGTGTCGGTATGATGATATAAATCATACATAAAAGTGCACCTGTATGACGATATGCATCATAAAAATAAAGAGACATGCTTGTGGCCTATATTATAAAGCAGCATGCCGTACATGCATACGTAAATTGTGTTTCTCTTTTTTTCATCTCTACAGCGCCACCAAAGAAAAAACTGTATGTTGCCTATTACATCACGAACAATTGCGCAAATCCAATCAATATTAAGACCAACTCTTCTCTGCATCCTGTACTTCCCTCTGTTCAGCCTGGCGGAACAATAAGAGTGCAGCTACCTTTATCAGCAACTCTAGCCATTCGAGTCTTTGATGCTTTGACTGGTCAACTTCAAAGGATCAACGGGCAGACAGTTGTGTATATAAAACCCACAGAAGATGAGAATTCTCATGTTCGTTTGTATGTTCCATACAGAATCGCAGGTAATGATTATGTACAGTACACTTTGAAGACAATGCTTCACAATTCGCCTTTTTGGCCTATATTGAAACATAGAATGAAATTATTGCTTGCGTCAACATCTTTGTTTTTAAGGCGATTTAATCTATGCAAATATATGTTAAATAGTACAGTATGTGTATTAACCGTGTTTTTTATGCCATAATAATATGCCTAAAAATATTACTCAGTGCAATTTTATCGAGCAGTGCAATTTTATCGAAATGCAGTGCCAAAAAAGAAATTCATTGCCGAGAAAAAGATTTATGCAGCGAGCACATAAACAAGTGACATTTTAAATAAAGTTTTGACTTTTTACTGTTGAAAACCTGTCAAGTTGTTGAGCGATATTCAAAACGTCAAATTATACTCGTTCTTCGGACTCGTGAAATTTTTATCCTGCAAAACTCATTCTTGCATGTGTTTTTTCCAGATTGGATTCAAAGCCATAGTAATAACTATACAAATGATTGCTTGTTAAAGCTTTAATCACTGGACGAACTTATTCACGCGAAGCGAACGCATATTGTGGCAGCATGATTGGTTATATAGTGAAAACATTTCCCCAGTGAAAAAGTCAGTGTTCCAGGGAGTTAATGACATAGAGCAGTTGTCGATCAGTACAAATATATACATTTGCTGCTTTTTAGATCAGCATTTTCCACATAATGTTGTAAAAATTCCCAGTTAATTTAAGCGGGACTCGGTCCGTATTCCACATGCACCATTCTTGTAAATGTCGAGAGGTGTATTACTCAACAGTCCTCGTATATTTCAAATATTTTTTCAGTTTTTGTTAAAAAAATACTGAAATTGCCATATATCCATAAAATTGCAATCCTCAAAATCGAGCCAATATGTCCTTTAATTAAATTTTGTTGGAAATTCCGCAAAACACCCCGGAATACAATGCAGGGATTTTGAAATGTCAAGAATTTTTGAAGAAGCTTTTTCTCAGAGTGAAACACCCTCGGTGGCCATATTATATACCACGAACGTATAAACATCATTAATTATAAAAAAAATCACCATATTGATTGTAACAATTTTGATCGTTATAGCCACTCAACCTCCTTCTGGTAAAAGATACTACGTTGCGTTTAGCGTGAGAAATAACAACGCACGAGAAATCACAGTTCGCACAACCCTTGCTGAACCTTACCAACTGTTCCATGTCCGACCTTTTGACACGATTACAATAAACGTAGCACATGACAGCGCTCAACCTGTCTTTATACAAGCTGTGGATCGTACAACCGGCACTCCCATTTCACTGAATGGCAAACAGTCGATTACTCTCATACCGCAAGCTACGCCCGCTGTGTCACAGCTCTACAGTGCTCCAAATCAGTGTAAGTTGCAACGTAGTTTATTATTAATTCACGTATACCGTATAATTAGTGTTGACCCGAACCATGCATGGATAGCCCGTGAATGGACGCTCATTGACACATCATGGTTACATCGACGCATAACCTAAGCCATGACTTCCTGGTAAGGATTGTAAAACTGTTGATACGTGGGGAGATTTCTTTTCGCCCCAGACACGCCCCCGCCCGCCCAGTTTTTCCGCAGTTTTGGAATAATTACAGAATTGGTCTTGTGGCTACGCCCGTGCGGAAGAAAACGCCGGAAAGTAGCGGCTCCTTGAAATACTGTCGTATTGCTGATATGTTTGCTATTTTTAATATTTAGAAAATAAAGTTGATATATACGCCCTCTAGTTGGGTATTTGACAGAACAGAAATATATGTCAATAACGTTTATTGCTCACTTTTTCAGATCGACCGGTCTATCGTGTCACATTCACTTTGAGAAATACCGGAAGCAAGACTGTCATTCTCCGATCAAAACTTTCTTCTCCGGACCGAAGCTTCCGGTTGGCACCTGGGCAAGTCTACACGCTTAATAGAACCGTTCCAAATCAGCACGCAATGTTCATCAACGTACGCGATGCGGTTACGAATCAACGAGCTTATGTGAATGGAAGAACAGTCTTCGTCCTTTTCCCGAAAGTATATCTTGTTCCTTACAAGCGGGGTAAGTTTTCACACGTGACATAATCTCGTTCGGCGGATCACCTGAAAAATATAGGCGGAACTACGTCGTTTCGCTCGAAACATTGAAGTTGCGCTTATATTTTTCAGGCAGTTGTATCTCACTTAATCTTCAACTGTACACGTGACAGTATGTAGTATAAGTAATATAAACGTTTTGAAACATATTGTGAAAACGTTTGTGCAGTCGAACCTGCATGTATTAAGGTGGCTCTGTACAGTTTTTTAGAAATAGAAAATTTGCGATTTAGCTATATCCGTGTTTTTGGACAAGTATTATACTTGTTGAAAAAACGAAATGCAGCTGACTTATGTAAACAACATCTAAAGAGTTTGAAATTCTGCACACAGGTTTGACTATATGCACTGTACGGTCATGAACGCAAGTTGGGTAAAATGTGCACGGGTGAGTTTTGACATGGTGTTTTCAGTCCTTCACAGTGCATTTTTTCAGTGGTGGGGCAAAACTCTGAGTGCCAAAGTGTCCATTTTCCATGCCTTCCTCCAGCATAGTATGCGATCGCCGAAGGTGTGAGCAGAGTACCTCAGGCACGAGTTAACTTGAGGGGTTGAAGCTGGGGGCATGCCCCCAGGAAATTTTTAAAATTTGGGTCTCTGAAATAGCATTTCCTGCATTCTGAGAACACATTTAAAAAAAATCTCAGCTTCTCAAAACAAAGTTTCAATGGTGAAATTTGTAATAAATTGCATGCTAAACATTCAAACATAACATAAGTTTAAGTATGCTCACCAACAAATTTTGTTTTTAAACTTCTTTTCAATTTTAATTAAACTCATTTACTCAATACAGGTCCTAGGGTCCTGGCTTTGGGGCAACAGGCCAATTTTTTTCTTCAATGGTGGGGCCCAGTGGGGCAAATGCGCCACCAGTCCATGGTATTAAAAAATGCCTTGGACTCCTTCATTCAAAAGTCCATCAAAAAAGTAAAATCACCCCCTTGTCAAGTAGACCGATATGTTGAATTTTTTCGCTTAAAATCGTTCCTATAGTGTCTTCTTGCTGTAAATTGCGCTTATTAGCCAACCAAAATGCGTAAAGCGCAAGAAAATTTGCCCCGTTCTGTATTTCCGTTCCTTTCTTCGTTGTATCTCCTTTTCCCCCACTATGTTTCCTCCGAATTGCACTGCTGTCGGGCAATCAGAAATGAAAATTTTTTATGCACTAAATACTTCGACAGATTTTGGTTTGCAACTAGCGATTTATACACAAGTAGCAAACGGCATCCTTTATTCTCAGATTTTGTGATCTAGAACATCGTGTCATATAACTTACTATCTAATGTTGGATCACGATTTTTTTCAACTAGAAATTGATTTCGTGCATTTTCTTTAAATATTTTAGTTACGCGTGTACTGTATCCTCTCCGTTTCTCGGTCGAAAACAGATATAATAAGAAAATATATATCAAAACAACGCTATCCAAGCCGTATGATGTGATCACGTTCAATCCCAAGCAGAAGATAACGGTTTACGTGAACTCTACATCAACTAAAGTGGTTGAGGTTAAAGCGTACGACTTCCTTCAAAATACCGAGTTACTACCCATCAATGGTCAATTCAGTATTCAGCTTACCCCTGGAGCCACTTCTTTAATTCCTTTAGCTGTACCTTCAGCAGACTACAGTAAGTAAAAACATTGATAGATTGTGTATTTCCAGTGCTGTAAATGTTACACAATAACTAGTTACAAAGTTCCAAGTTTCAAAAATTTTGCAACTAGTTACTAAGGGACCATTCATTATTTATAACCGGGGGTGGGCTGGCAAAAAAAGGGGGTGGGTCATGAGGTATTTTTGACCGAAAAAGGGGGGCCACCTAAAAATATTGGTTCAGAATGGGGGGTCCAGTTATTTAATATAGTGGTATTATAGTGGAGAACAATTTGACATGTAACGATTATTGCTACCACAGGGAGCAAGCAAGGCAGCAAATTTAATTCAAACAAAATTCTCAATTTTAATGAACAGATTGGCCCAAAATGCGATGCACAAATACCCAAAATGCAATATGCGCAGCTAATATGAAAAATAATCAAACATCTACCTTTACAACTTTTGCCATGAACTTGCCATAAATTTTTGTCATATTTCAATTATGTACATTTTAATAAAAAAGATAATTAACGAGTAAGCGATGTAGCAACATTATATCCAGGGAAAGTTTGGCATATACTATATACACTAGTTATACTAGGTATTTTATACATGGTTTGATTTAGTAAGGAGTTGCTTTACCGTGTCAAGTCTGAGTCAAATCCGAGCCCGAGTCAAATGTCCGGTCTTTATAGTTCCTTGACGTAGTACCCTAACCCTACTCTTAACCCAGGACTGTAGCAATCCAATAATTTGATAATAATCATTCTTTTTCCAAAATCATGCACACTTCTACCATTTAAATAATATAGGCTAGCTTTAAAATACTGACAATTGATTAATTTTAAGCGGCTACATTATCCATGACAAACTGCAAAGAATATTAACGAAGATATTTCTCATACTTTAATGCAACTTATCCAATATATAGTTAATTTAAATACGCCTTCGCTACTAAATTGTAAATTTCGACATACTAAAATGCTGTCTTCTGACCATCAGAATTCTGTCAAATCTTTTCCAAAGTCAGGAAATGGCATTTCAGAGACAAATTTAAAAATTTCTTTGGGCCTTTGGCCCTCCCTTTCAGCTCCCCAATAAAAAACCTAATCTTCCTACAGCGCTGTAACCCTAACCCTACTCCTAACCCTATACTCCTAACCGATTTTACTCGTCAACAGGGAAGCTCTGCTAGGCATGTCCCGATTGTGCTCGGCAACTTTTGAGAAACTTTTTGCGTTTGGAGCAACTTTTTTCGGCTTGAACAACTTCAAGTAACTTTTTCGTTTTTGATCAACATTTTACCACACTCTTAGTAGTGAAAAATTGTATGACCCCCAGCTTTAGCGTCTTCGGCGCTCTGCAGCTTAATCGGTTACCAAGTACTTATTTTTTTACTTGTTTAATGCCAGACGATTTTACTCGTCAGCAGGAAACTCTGCAGCGTAATGGGTTAAATAGGCATGCATATTAATTGTTGAAAGCACAAGTAAATGAAAGATCTGATGCCTTTTACAACAAGTTTAAAGAGCTCATTTCTATACAGTACTGTACATTTATTATATTGTCGGTGGTGCATGGTGGTGGTGGGGGGTTACTATTTTTTAGAATTTATGTAAGGGGGGTCATTGAATTTTTTTGTGATGCAGGGGGTGGGGCAGGACATTTTGTTTAGTTGTTAATTGAATTTTGCCTGCCCACTCCCGGTCATAAATAATGAATGGTCCCTAATCACGAAATTTTATAATACAAAATTTTTATTGCTACTTGAATAACCTTTCGTTTACAGTTAACTATTATAATCTATCTCTAGAAAATAATCTAGTTTTTTGCTGAATCGTGCACCGTAACTTATTTCAATACATCAAAATAATCCCGCCTCACATCTCGTCCTGGCAAAGCGCGATCATATATAAACAGCCGCTTATTCAGCAAATTGTGCATGCTGCCTTTGATCCCTTGAGAGTGAGGCAGCACCTTCCTTGCCATATTAACTCCAGACAGTTACTAATCACGAAATTTTATAATACAAAGTAACTGGGATTAGATTACTCGCTCTCGATTTAATTGTTAAGTGGAGATACTTAGCCTACGCCCGTATTTTTTTTTGTATTTGAATTTTATTTGCCCATATAAAGCTATAATATATTTACAATGTATATTTGTACAAACATTAAGGGCTAGGAACCTTTATGAAACCCTATCAGGCTTTTATTCAAAGGCCCCTAGTTTAACAATATTATAAAATGTGGTTAAAGCTTGTTCAATCTTGTCAAAGACAAAGTAAGGGTATTTACAAATATAGTGATTTGAATATAAATATACACAATTTACAAGAGTTTATTTTGTGAGATTACAAATGAAAGCCGTTAGGTATATTCCAAGAAAAGGATTTAAACATAGTATTGCTAGTTTCTTTATCAAGAGAGTTCCATATTTTAACTCCCTTAACCGCTACCCTTGGAAATTCACCATTGTTCTAATTTGAATGCCTGAGTGCTATCTTGAACTCATGGGTGCATGAACAATTTGAATGGAATTTTATGCTTGAAAGGTTATTGAAAAGTTTCTGGTTTTGTTCAGCATATGACTGTTTGATTTAAACGCAACAAAAATACGTAAGTCAAACAAAACGTTGTTTATTTTTACAATTATTAAGCACCTCGTCCTTCGACGTGGCCCCCATTTCTCTCAACACAAAATAATGTTCGTCTATGCATATCACGCACGGCTCGGCTAATGAGGGCAGGCTGTTGTCGTAATGCATCAAACTCTTCGATGATTCTTTGGCGTAACGCATCAATATCGTGTGGTGGAGTGGCAAAGATTTTGTTTTTGAGATATCCCGAAAGGAAATAGTCACACGGTGTTAAGTTCGGTGAGCGAGGAGGCCACTCAACATTGTGACCTAACCCTATGATGTGGTTATTTCCGAAGACTTCGTTCAGCCGATCTCTTACTTGAATGAGACGATGTGCTGGAGCGCTGGCTTGTGCCCACGAAAGACCCCGAAACAATCCTTCCCAATGTTTGTTGAAATGCACAGCGAGATTCGGGAAAACAAATTCGTTAAGCATTGCAAGATAGGAATGTCCGTTAACATTTTGTTCGAAAATGTAAGGTCCAACAATTAAACCATTTCCGCAGAGTCCTGCCCAGACAGTCAGTTTGGCACGGGAATTGTTCCTTTCAAAATTGAATGCGGGCGGATGTCCTTTAGGTGCATATTCACGAACATTATGTGAGTTCACTTCACCATTAAGGGCAAATCCTGCTTCATCTCCTGTTAGTAGACTGTCCAAAAAATGTTCGCCTCGGCAGCGTTGATTGAACCATTCTGAGAAGCGTAACCGGCGTGGGAAGTCGCCTGCTAACAACTGGTGTCGCACAAACATTTGATATGGATGCCATTGCAGGTCAAGCCTTGTTATTCTGTTAAAGCTTGCATGTGAAATTTGAAGAGGATTTCGGCGAGCACTTACACGTGGTGTTTGCTGGAGCAGAGCTCTAACAGCGTCAACATTTTCCTCAGATCGTGTGGTTCGTCTCCTACCAGAATTACCTTTATTAAGGTTAAGACTCGATCCAGCGTTCGTGTATTTTCTTACGTTGCTTAAAATTGTTGTTTTAGCAGGTGGATTCCGATCAGGAAACCTTTCTCGAAAAAGGTTTTGGACTGCGACTAGACTTTGGGTTCGCGTATAATTTAAGACAATAATTACTCTTTGCTCTGTGCTCAGTTGAGCCATTTGCTTGACATTCACTAAGATGTAATTGAACGATTTTCGTGCAGTTATACTTTTGTATGAACCTACTTTCAATTCCCAGAATAAACACTTTCGCTTTTCAAGGAATTTTAATTCCGAAGATCTTTAATATATGCATCCTGTGAAAATGTTTACGCATTCATGGCTTCAACAAGGTTCAGGCATTCAAATTAGAACAATGGTGAATTTCTAAGGTAGCGGTTTTTTGAGACACCCTATATAGTATGTTTTGCATAATTAGTTCTACTATAATTGACATGCAATTTATTAGAATTCCGAGTATTGTAATGATGCACGTACTTCATTGTTTTGTATGAAGTAGCCATTAAAAAATTCAGGTAGATTTTGTAAATGTTTAACTTAAAACGGTACATAAATAAACAACTTAAATAGTCATTAATCTTAAAGATATTCAAGATCTTCAGTTTTTGAAACAATGGTTCAGTGTGTTCAAGATAAGACTTAAAATTCATCAATCTGATAATTTTTTTCTGTAAATTCAGTATTTTTAGCAGCCTTGTTGGGTACGTGTTACCCCATATTAAATTCCCATAAGTAAGATACGGATAAACTAATGCATAATAAAGTACATTTAATGTATTTTTCTTTGTATAATGTCGTATTTTTGCAATCAATGCCGATGCTTTAATAATATTTTTGACAACTGAGTTTATATGGTTTTTCCATGTTAGTTCTTGGTCTATTATTACACCTAAAAATTTGACAGCAGTAGCCTGATGTATAATGTTATTGTCAAGTTGAATATAAATATCAGTGTCACATTTTTAATTTTCTGATTTAAAAATGACGTACTTAGTTTTTTTAGTATTTATTGATAATTTATTGGCGTTTAGCCATTTAGTCACTTCATTCATTTCTTTTTGCATAACATGCATTAAAGATTTGAGGCATTTGTCAGAGTAAAACGCGTTAGTGTCATCAGCATACATAACAAAAGAAATTATTTCACTACAGTTCTCAATGTCGTTAATATATAACAGAAAAAGTAGAGGCCCAAGTATCGAGCCTTGCGGAACTCCTGAAGATATGGTCATTTTACTTGACTTATGATCTTGATACTTAAGAATTTGCGTTCTTTCATGTGAGTAGTTTTCAAACCATTTTAAACAATTTCCTCTAAAAACCATAATGTTCTAGTTTTTTTAGAAGAATTTCATGGTTAACTGTGTCAAAACCCTTAAGCCTGCCGCACACGAGAGCTATCTGCTGAGCAAAAAGTTACTCGTGCCTGTTAGCTCAGCCGATAGCTCACCGTGTGCGGGTACATTTTACTGAGTTTTTTGCCTTATGCAACCTTTTCTCACGTATCAAACATGTTTGATCGGTGAGCTATCAGCTGAGCTAACAGGCACGAGTAACTTTTTGCTCAGCAGATAGCTCTCGTGTGCGGCAGGCTTTAGATAGATCAAGGAAAATACCGATTGTGTATTTTCCTTCATCTATGGCCTTTGAGATTTTGTCAGTCAATTCAATAATAGCATGTTCAGTGGAGCGATCTTTCCTGAAACCATACTGGTGTTTAGATAAAATGTTTTGTTTTTCAATATATCAGATCAGTCTTTTGTACATTACTTTTTCAAGCAATTTTGAAAAACACGTGAGAACTGAAATTGGTCTATAATTTTCAAATAGACATTTTCATTTGCTTTAAAAATAGGAGTAACAAGAGCTATTTTTAGTGTATTCGGTATTAATCCAGTTTCAATAGTTAAATTGAAAATATGTGCAAGAGGTTTGCAATCTCTTATTCTAAAAGTTCACTCACACTCAATGAGTGGAGGGTTTAATCTGAGCTTCTCTTGAGTTTCAATGCTGTTTTTGAATAGCTGGAGGGTGAGTTGTCACATAGTAAGGTATGCGGACACTAGCCCCACAGCTATTCCAAAACAGCAATCACACTGGAGAGAAGCTCACATTGAACTTCCACTTATTGAGTGTGAGTGAGCTTTTAGAATACAGGCGATAGTCAATTTAATTAGCATTTTTCACGGGAATGCGATTAGGTCTTGTCCGACATTTTTGGGTGGCAAACCGCGCTGCAGTGAACGATGATAAATAGTACTTATAAATAATAATACTATTATGATTCTACTAATATGGTGTGTTCCTTATTTTAGCAACCTCCTACTACTTCGTTTTGGGAGTGCACAACAATTTCGGAAGTGATATCATACTTCGAACCGCATTGGAATCACCCCACGATTCAATTCGTGTTCTCGCTGGCAAATCTTTCACGTTGACGCTCCAAACAAGGAAAAACACTAGTGTGGTGTTCAACGTCATTGACGCAACCAACGGTAGAAGAGTGTCGATTAATGGAAAAGCCATGATAATACTTAAACCTACCAAAGTACCAGGCGCACCACAGGACCTTTATTTCCCTGCAAAAGGTATGCGAAAAATAGCTTAGCATGACACAATCTGTCCATGTTGAATTTCTTTATAATTATATATTTTTTTCATTTTCTGACTTTGAAACGAACCGTATGTTTGCTTGCCATAACAAATAAGCTATAAGCTTTAGTCTAAACACCATTCATTTATGATCGCTTTGTCCCTGTGAGCATGAGAACAGTGAAGGTTTTCAAAACGTGTGCTTTAGATGTCTAACGTGACGGTTTTAATAATAACAAGACGCCTGCTCAGGCGTTCAAACTAGCTGGCCTTCGCAGTTGGTAAAATACCATATATTAGGCTATAACATTTAATATCCATCTTTGGTTAAAAAAGTACAATGGATTTACAAGAAGTGCTAAGGTTAAAATTGATAAGAAGAAATTTTACTATTATTTACATCAATGTTGCTAAAAATGTTTAAATTTATACTAGTTATATATTCTATAAAATTAATTTAGGACTGTTTTAAAAGGGATATAGCTCTAGGTATAAAGGATTGCCGGTGTCTTTTAGTATACAATACAACATATGGTAGATTACTTGTTGTTCTTAGATCGTGTTCATGGGTAAAAGGTTGGGGGATAAGTTTATTACATGGGTTGGTCGGATCACTTAGAATTCTTTGGTATTCCTTAACAGTTAGGTGCGCCCTTCTTTGTCCTAGCGTTTCAAAGTTGCACCGAGATGTGCCGAGGATTTTGATGCATCTGTTTTGAATGCTCTCTATTTCATCAATGAGATATTGTGGTAAACCACCCCATATCGGAGCTGCATATTCTAAAACAGGTCTAATCTTGGATTCATAACATGTAATACCGACCTCAGGAGGAAGATTCGCCCTACGGCATTCTCTTGTTTTGATGCCAGACACCCAACAGTTTATGAGAATTTACTCTTTCCTCTGCCTCGTTTCCAATGACAAATGGTTCTGGTGCCGGCATTGCTGTGTTAAAACATATCCACATATCTTTTGTTTTCTTCGAATTTATCGTCATTTTGTTCCTATTAGACCATTCTTGTACTGTTTCAAGGGCCTCCTGCATATGGCTGGATGAACCTTGTGACACCACTTCGTCCTGTGTACAATCATCCGCGTATTTGCATATGTTTATGGATAATCCATCTGGGATTGAGTTCTCAATATCGTTAATGTGTGTATTAAAAAGAGCGGGGGACATCACAGAACCTTGTGGGACTCCTGCAGGACAAGGTTTGACCGATGATAGGGTTTCTGCTAGTTTGACCTGTTGTCTTCTATCTTCCAGAAAACTGCGCGTCCATAGCCAAAAAGCTTTGGTTACATTCATTTCTGCGAGCTTACGAAGTAGAATTCCGTGGTCAACAAGGTCAAACGCTTTGCGAAAATCTATGAATAGTGCATGAACTCCATTTTTGGCGCTATGCGTATTGTCGGTCACATTAAACCAGTTCTGCGAGATGTTGGTGAGTGCGGACACGGTTGATCGTTTGCTTGTAAAGGCATGCTGATTATCGTTTATACGTGAACTGGGAAGGTTCAGTTTGAGCTGCAGCTTTTCCAGCACTTTAGCCATTTGGGGAAGAATGGATATCTGGCGAAAGTCATTCTCGATATCTCTTGGTGGATTGACCTTCGGAACTGGGATAACTAAGGCGTGTTTATACGCAGTTGGATATTCACATTCTTTTATACTGGCGCAAATAATGTCATGAACGATGGGCGCTAGTTCTTCACAGTATCGTTTAAGTACCCATGCTGGAATCCCATCGGACCCGGTGGCTTTTTTAGAGTTTAGTTGTTTCAAGGCAGTCTTAACCTGTCCAATTGAGGGAGTAGGAGGATTTTCTTGCTTCAGTGATGACGCTACGTCTTCAAGACTAGGGATTATGGTTTCAGGAAGTTTTGACCATGGTTTAGTAAATATATTCTGCAGTATTTCCGCTGTATCGGGAGTGCTGTCTGAGATTAAGTTGTTGTTTAGATTGTCACCTTCAAAGCCAGCTAACTGGGATATCGTTCTATGCCATTTTGCTGCATCGTGTTTGCGTTTGCTTTTGACCTTAGATGAATAAAATTCTGCTTTATCTTTCTTGATAAGTGTAATGATCTTATCAGCCAATTGTCTATATTTGGTCATGTTCCCAGTAGTATAGGCTTTTTGCCTCGCTTTAATCTCTTTTTTTATATAAGCCGTCATCCATGGCTTGTCAGACGCATGGGTACGTATCTTGGTTACAGGTATTGTTTTATCTAATATGTCTATTATAGTATTTGTAAAAAGACTAACTTTGTTATTGATATCTCGAGCCTCAAATATTGATTTCCAGTCCTCAAGGTTTAATTTTAGGCCGAGTGCATTTAGGTTACATGGTTTCGTTAGGCGCACTTTTCGAGTGGAAGGCTTCACGGTTTGTATTGTTTTGGGACTACACAACAAACATTGATGGTCAGAGCGACCAACTGGAGGCAGGTGCACCACTTCTTTATATAAATCTGTCATGTTCGTTAGTATTTGGTCC